AAGAAATGAAAAACTGAACTACATGAGCACTTTCGGCTTACAAAGCCATCTTTAGAGCTATGGTCAAATATTTAAGTATTACTACTTTTAGAGATCATTTGGTAAGAAAATTACAGAAAATTTTTCTTATTAATTTGGTTCTATATATTTTTTCAATGATTTTTTTTCAATTATGATTTTTTATGAAAGTGATTTTGTTTCATCTTTATTATAACTGGTACATTTTACCGAGACTCAAATCCAGAGACAAGTATTTCCTATGGTTGCTTTTTTCCCGGCCACAATGAGATTCTTAATATTGTTCTGAAGCTATTTTCTTGTGGCATTTTAAATTAATTAACTGTTTGTATTTTGAGAACGATTTCCGAAGTGGAAATTGAAACGTCAATAAACGTATTTTTATCTTTAATTGTGGCTCATTCCCAGTTAAATAGTAATTAACAATGAGATTCGTATCATGCATGATACTATAATAACAAGATAGGATCTTCCCGAAGCACAAAATAGGTCGTGTTCGCGCATGCCGTCATTGGAGAGTAGAATTTGAATTCTTGTTAAAGTTAACTGGGATTTGTATGCATTCTGTGATGAAATTACTAGACGAAAATAAGTTAAGAGGTTTAGTAATTACAATAATCGTACACATAAGAATATCTCCAAATTATTTATTAAAGATTATTTATTGATACATACAAAAAACTGACATTTCGACGTCAAACTCTCCAATGACGTCACGACTTATGCGCAATATCGTATCTTCTTAGTCTTAGTATCATGGTATCATGGAAATTTTTCAACTAATTTCTGTCCATTTTCTTTACTTCGGCTGTTTTATTGTGCGCTGGGTGTTTGCTACGTTTATCACAAGGTGATGATGTTCCTATGGATTTACGTTTGAGCAAGTCAGTCTAATCTATTAGCAAAAACTTGAAATACCGTTTGAAAAAATGGTTTGCACACCTTATGCTTCATACCTTCCTGACTGAGTAAAAATAAAGCTTGGATTTTTCCTTCTTAGATTCTGTGTTCAGAGTGTAGCTACGCAAATTATTAATATAAATATAGAAATTATAGAAATTTTTTTACAATTCCATTTGTCTTTCTTCTGGAATCAAGAATGAACATGTTCCTTTACATGTGCATTCAAATGATTTAAAAGATTTGGAGCGAACAATTTACCCGATTTAATTGCATACTCTTGTCCAGCACAGTTTTTTTCAAAAATGTTCCACTTGTTTAAAAAAAGAGGTATATATAATAAATATAAATAACTTTTAAATAATATAACATCACGTTTAATTTTCAACATACAATTTACATAATACTTAAATTCCTAGCCTGGTTGTTAATATCTATTCCCCTCAAGAACTATCCCTTTTCTTGTTAAATAGTTACAGTAAAACCGATGATCACCTGTCACCAGTTTACCATAACGTATTTTTAAACTATGTTTTCTCAAACATTAAATAATATTCCTTGTATCGGCATGTAAGTAATATTTATATAATTCCAATTTTACTAAATAATTTTTCACTAATTTTTTTATTTAATTAATTTAAATTCATGTTTAATAAATCACACACATATAATATTGGCATAATTACTATTATATATTTTGTACCAGACAGCACCCTAATACGGGTTATTATATTTTCAACATTTAGTTTACCTTGTAAGGTTGACCAGAAGATGCGTAGCAAATTATCGTAAGTAAAACCGGTTGTTGGTGGCAGAATAAATTGATTGTGAGTAAGTCTTACTCTTATTTATTTTTATCTATTTAAAATGAACTCACACAGGCAACATATTCCAGATTAAAGCAATACTATAGAGGATTTTTTAAAGAATAATTTTCACTGCAGATTATTTTAATGTTATTAATTTTTCTGGATGGCACAATGCTCCGAAATTGACCGAAATCCCCCACCTCCATTGAGGGGTAAGATTATCTTACCTGTGTAGTCACCTGTACCGATGTGATTCATGCTGGGTCAAATGATACATTAAAAATGTAGTCTGCTAGTACAATATCCTGTAAACAGAAATCAAAGTTAATTTTATTTTTTTTGTTATTTCACTGTAATGTGTCAGTGACCACGTTGGCGAGACGCTTTAAATAAAATAAAAAATATATTTTTTATCACATTCTTTGTAATTACAACACCTTTTATTATTGCATTCTAATGTTTGGTTGGTGATTTTCACTTCCGCATTAACTGTGAATTGAATATAACCGCCTTGCAGTAGATAAATATAGTGGTATTCTTATCTGTCATGGCTTCCGATAGTACTTCCGTTTTCTTGATAAGTTAAAGATCCCATTTAGTCGAATCCGGTTTGTAATGTTGACAAATAATGGGTTTTTAATGTAACCTAAATTATGAAATTCGTTTTTATTTATATTTTTTGCCTACGATACAAATATTTAAGTAAATATTGATAAGATAGAGGGAATTTCTAATCAAAGTTTATAAAAAAAATCTAATCAAAGTTTAAAAAACTATCTAATCAAAAGTTTCGTTACGTTTTATTACCAAACCTTATTATTCTCATTTTCTTATTATTATTGTAAATATATCAGGTATACTGCACCAGGGGTCATATTTTCGAATTCATTCGAGCATATTTCGCATACGAAATTAGAAGAAATTCGTTCGAAATACAGTTTTTTTTTTATTTTTGAATAGTGCGTGTACGAATTTTTTCGTGTACGGCGACACGAATGGGCCTGAAGGCCTGAGCCATTCGAATTTTGATGCTAATATACTATTAAAGTAATTGTTGTCATTTCAATTGTGACTGGGTTCATGTACGTCAGATAAGATTTCAGCTAATAGTTTTTAATTTTTGCTTTAGATTGAACAATACAATACAATTTACATTAATACAATATTTTTACAGTTAACTTTGTTTTCAATGGCTGGTTTAACTAATGTTTAAATATAAAGAAATAGTTAATGCTCTTGTAAAGGCGTAAATATTAGCGGAACGGAGAGGCAAGTTTACCAACCCGTTCTTAACCCCCTAGAGGACTATTTGGATGTATAATTTCAAAAATTGTACAGATTAACAAAGCTCCGCACAATCAAGTTAATTGACTAGACTTAAATGGTTATTTTCCTCTCTTTTCAGCTAATTAACAAGAAACAAAGAATTGTTTTGGATGTAAAATTTACGAATAAAGTAGGTTAAGTAAAGCTATCATTTATTCTTATTTTTTTTTATTCAAGATTTGGTTGTTCGAATTTGCAGTGTTGCCGATGCAAATACTTCTCGTATGCGTATACATTTCGAAGGACGTTCAAAAAAACAGATTCAGATTCGTATACGAAATTTTTCATTCGAGTTAACTCGTATACGAAAAACTTCGATTGAATTCGAAAATACAACACTTGTACCAGGTTTTTACTTGAGCAACCTTCTAGGACATCAATCACATTTCGCATGATTCTGTTTGATTTAGCGTTCTTCTGTTAAGTGACCACGTTCACTAGTTATGTGTAGTGGCCTGCATTAATGTTTTAGAAAAGATAAAGAAAGTCCAGTTGGCTGGGCCCGTATTTTCGAAACCGTTCGAACGGAAGTCGTATGCGAAAGATGATGAATTTCGAACGAAAATCGATGATTCGTATTTTCGAGTTGATTTCGAACGCATCGTATACGACGATTTTCGTACACGACTGCTCGACTGGGTATTCACCATTCGAATAGCGGTAAACACACGGAGTTTGACATTTCTGACTTTTGCATTTAGTTTGGTTTTTAATTGTTTACATAAGTGAGATGGCCGGCCTAAATTTTTTAATTGAAAGAAATGTTATATATGTAAATGTGATAGAGTATACCATGCATTTTTAAACCCTCTTGAAGCATTATCAGACAAACCATTTGTAAAATTATACCGTTGAACAAAGCCTCTGGCAGATGAACTAATAGAACTTTTGGAGCCCCAGTTGGTACCTCCATCTAGGGCATCTGCATTGAGCATACCGAGAAAGGTAAGTATAACAAATATTTTTAATTCGACATAGGTATACTGTGAAAATGTTCCCCAAAGCACCCTCCGCTTTGTTCCTTAAGAATAAACATCCGGGCCAAGTATTTTACATAGAGAGTAATAAAATTGTTTACCTACAATAATTTTTTGCAGGTTTTCTAATCTATTTTCTTCCATAAAATCTATCAGTTCTTTTTTTTTGTTCGGAAGAACAAACAAATCCTCCGAACATGGAATTTTTATTTTCTTTGTCCATATTGGAAACAGAGAAAACAGATAAGTACGAAAACACAAGCCAAAACACGTTAACACTGTGTAGAAAATTGAGCAAATCACAAAAAACTAAAAAACTTCAAGTCTGCTGCAACAAGTAAAATAAACTTGTCAGTCAAATAAATGTCGCCTGTCACCTCTACCTCTTCTTTTCTTAATTTCGTGCGAATTTGCGGCGTTGCCGGTGAATTTGGGTTAACGGATTCTCGTATGCGAATTAAACTTTCGAATTGCGTTCGAAAATACGCTGTTACGTTCGTGCACGATTTTTTTTCGTTCGAACTAATCGCATGCGAATAAATTCGAACACATTCAAAAATACGACCCCTGGTATCTTTCGCAGGACAGATGTAGTCCTCGTTTCCTGGAGTAATCAGTATGTTCCCTTAAAGTTAAATTTTTTAACATCGACCTCATGTCACTTCAATTTTAATATTTAATACATTTAATAATATCTAAAGGTTATTGCATCTTTTCAAGTGGCTAGTCTCGATTATTAACTATGTGTTCACTGATGATGGTTGGTTTGATAAGAGCAAAAACGTTCTGAAATTTTAATCAGTCTGTAAAATTTCAATCTTTTTTATAAAAATTATTTTTAAATATACACCATTTTACACTATAAATATTTTACTTTACTGTAAGTTTTACTATGATATTCTTATTTTAAAACTTCAAAAGAAAATTTAAAACAGTTGGGTAACTGACTAACTGATTATTTTTTTTTCAGGTTTTCCTCAGACAAGACGTCCTCGATTATCTAAATGGCTGCGATTTTGTTCAGATGGGAGATTGCTAGTTCAACGCAAAGAAATGACTGATAACCAGGAAGAAAGGTATGTATTAATATAATGTAGTAGTTATATATCTATATTTATAAGCTTATTATGATTTGTTGTACCTTTATTTACGTATCTGTGACCGGTTATGGGTGATTAATAATCCTTAAGATATTTGAAGCATGACAACTAGTTCAAAATGAAAAAAACCTGCAGTACCATATCCATAATACGAATAGATAATATCTGTCCAGTAGTGTCCCCATGCTAGAGAAATGTGCCAGGGATGTTTTCTGCCACCTTTTCTCTTTTGCCTTTATTCGATGATATGGTCATCTTGACGGACACTTGAAGGTCTTTAACGGTTTCTAGGCGCAGTAGAAGAAGAAGGTGAACCTTCGGACTTAAAATCAACACTAATAAACCAAAAACAGTGCTAGTTAGTAAGCAAACGTTCAAATCTTCAAGCTAGTATACAAATTTATAATACTCCCATCTTCTTCTTTTTGTGCCACTCCTATCGGAGATTGGAAATCATCAAGGCTATTCTGACCTTGTTTACGGCTGACCTAAAGAGTTCATTAGTGGTGCAGCCAAACCACTCTCTCAAATTCCGCAACCATGACATTCTTCTACGGCCTGGATTCCGTTTTCCTCCTATTTTTCCCTGCTTTATATTTTGAAGTAATGCGTATTTATGTCCTTTCATCAGGTGACCAAAATATTCGAGTTTTCTTCGCTTTAGCGTTAACAAAATCTCTGGGTCTTTTCCTATTCTTCGTATTACTTCACAGTTTTGTTATTCTTTCAACCCAACTAATCTTCAGCATTCGACGGTAGCACCACATCTCGAAACTTTCAATATTTTTCATGTTGTTCTGTTTGAGAGTCCAGGCCTCTACACCGTATAATAGCGTGTTAAATACATAGCCTCTCAGCATTCTTAATCGTAGAGGGATGCTTATATTTCTGTTGCAGAAGAATTTTCTCATCTTTATGAAGGTGGTCCTGGCAATTTCGATACGTCTTTTTATTTCACTGTTTTGGTCTCCAGTTTCGTTTATTAAAGTTCCCAAGTATTTGTAACTTGATACTTTTTCAACTTGAGTGCCGTTTATACTAATATACGCTGGTTGTATCATGTTTTTACTGAAGACCATATACTTGGTTTTTTTAATATTGATATTTATACCATAATTGTTGCAAGCAATATTTATGTCTGTAAGTAATCTTTGTAATTCTTCTACTGTTCTTGCAACTAGTACAGTGTCGTCCGCGTATCGAATATTATTTACAATCTCTCCATTAATTACGATTCCTCCGTTTGCTTGTAAAAGGGCTTCCTGACAGATGCTTTCACTATATACATTAAATAACAGAGGTGACAAAATGCAACCCTGTCGTACTCCTCTACGTATTTCTATTGCTTGTGATGTTTCAGTTTCTATTTTGATGTTAGCTCTATTTTGATCTATTTAGATCTATTTTGATGTTTCAATCTATATTGGAATCAGAAAGCTAACATCAAAAAGATGGAAATAAATTAATTGAAATTAAAAAAAATGACTAGAGGAAACTACAAACTCAAGCGATATCGAACTTACAAACAATGTGGAGATAAGGCGTATTATACAAATTTTTTCTTTTAATTCTCTATAAACCAATAGCTTAATATTGATAAACGGTATTCTCAATGACTGACTGTTCCATACAATGTAATATCAACTCCTTGAACAACGACGTGTCATCAGGATTAGTGCTCGCACATATGCTGTATAACCAGTACATTGCATGTCAGCCGGAAACACAATCAAGAAATTTCGGACACGCCGATGATTGTCTTTGAGGATAAAGCGTCAATATTCGCTTAAATAGAAACTAACGCCCCAAAACAGAGAATAGTTCCTTTCATCTTAACAACAAACTCTCTGGAAGGGACCGCAACATTCGATTTGAGAACACTATTGTTGGGCACAACAAAACACCGAAATACTTTCTGTAGTACCGAAATCACCGAAATAATATCATTCTGTAATTATATCAGCCTCCTATTAACTCGTTCCTACGCTGTTAACGCATAGTTTGAATAGTGTCTGCAGGGCAAAACAAAAACAAATCTGGTATTACCCATAAACTACCTGGATTTGGCCTACTCCACAAAACATGTAAATAGAATCCAACTTTTCACCGTAAATGCGTATATTTCCTACATAAATGGGGTAACCGACCATCCCCAGAATGTAACTGTCGAGAGGATCAGACCATTGAGCATATGGTTGAAGAGTGCCATACAAGAGCTCCAAATACGTCCTGTTGGTAACTCCAGGAGCGATAGAGACTTATTTTTTTTTAACCCTTCAAAGTTCGTTATATTAGTGATTTTTATGTTTTTTTTTTGTGTGTGAAATCAGTGTGTCTGATTAATATGTAGCTAGATATGGAGACTTACTCAAATATTTAGAGTAGTACCACTATATTAGATTTTGGAATAATCTCTACTTCTTACATTTTACAGAAACGAACGAATTGCTCGCTACAAAGAAGAACGAAGGCGGCAATTAGCCGAACAATTTGCAACCCACCATTCACCTTCGAGAACAACAAGAAACGTTAACGGTTATAACAAGGATGGGGGTTCATCCAGCAACACCGAAGGCCCCAGACCGACCAGGGCCTCCCAGCTGCGGGCCGCAGCAGCCTTATCTCAGGAAAATATCTCTAGTCAGCAGGTCCAAGCTAGTAAAAGTTCTGAGGTGAGTTTTTATTAATTATATTATCATATCTTTTTTTTAATTGAAAATAATCCAATAATAAATAGCTAAAAATATCCAATTTCTGCTAAAATCAGAAAGATGGAAAAAATGGTTAATTCAAGAGTTACTGTTTAAAATAAATGTATCCTTTGCCTTATTTTTAGCTTGAATAACATTTTTTGTGACAAAGGCAGTTACTACCATATTCGCCACAAATAACATATTCAGTTATGGCTTTCGGTAAGCGGTGGTTCCGGAGTCTTCGATTTTACAACTGCAACTGGTAATCCATCGTGTTAATTTTATGTGAATACTAGTTCCGTTTCTACTTTATCGGTGAATTATAATATCCTAATAATCCCGTCCTTCTTTGAAGCTGGCATTGATTTAATTGAAAATTTTTACAAGGAAGGTTGACCGTCTGGTTTGATTTTATCGGAAAGAGATTGAAGAGACATTTATGTCTTAAGTGACTTACTGTTCAGCTTTTGGAAACATACCGGAATTTCTTTGTACAGTGTACATCTTTCAAAATCTTGAACAACTCCTTCAAACTATTAATTCCAAATTCGCCCTCACATCACTTTTTCCTTTATTAATTATATTTATCAAATTTGTATCTTTTGTTAGAAATATTTTTTTTCCAGTTGTTTCCCAATTTTCTTTTCCGGTTTTAGTCTGACAAAGCCACAATAAATCACAACATGCAACCTATTGAAAGTTCAACCCCTTAAATGTGTAATGATCGCGCTCGATTAGTGAGAATGCTCCCATAACGTAAACCGCCGCAACTGATGCAATGGACGAAAGACCGTCCAATTTTTAATTGTAGCGGGTCGTGCTTACACTCCATCGTTTACTTTCACGCACGAAAAGGTTACTCACGCTAAGAACATGTCGCTGACTACAACAACAACATGAATATTCTTATAATATACGTATGTTACCGACTGAAAAAAAATCCAACCAATTCTTGGAGAACAACCAAATAAATTATTAAAAAAATTTCAGTTCCTGATGAAAATGTCAAAACTCAGTCATTCCTACGAAAACAAATCCAGCAAGTGTCCTAAATTATATAGTATTTCATAAAATATACAAACGAGCAGTTAAACATGAACAGTATTTTATTAGTTTTATCATTGCATTTAATGTTCTCGGTATATTTTTTCTTTGACAAAACTGTTGTAGAATATACGTAGGTAAGTTGATTGGTAAACAACCTTATTAATCTCCGGCTATTCTAATCCCAAGATGGTCCCTCCGTCACTAAGTCGATGACTAGCAAGGTCGCTCTTGATTTTTATATGATGACAACAAATCACCGCCATTTAAGGATATGACAGACAGTAGGTGTTCGGCGATGATTATAAACTTGTTTTTGTAGTACTATGTAGCACATTTCATTTAACTTTGTCGTTGAACAGGATTGGATTAACTAAAACGATAATCCGTCAGGAATTAATTATAAAAATACACATTTTTAAAAATTGTATTTTGTAATTGTAAAAACATACAAAGATTTAAGCACTTTTCGTTAAATTTTGTAGAATTCTTATGGATAACTATTTTTTTGAGATCTCTTATGGTTCTATAGAATATTAAGTCCTTCAAGAATTTTCAAAACTTGATTATGTACATATCACATTCCAAAATTAAGCACTTCCCCAAAAGTTCACGTGGTTGAATCTGGTCTTAATTTGTGATCATAACTTCTGTACTTTATCGAATGTCTTTTCGAAGTCCACGAAGAATGATAATACATCTTTTCTTGTATCACGGATCATCAAATTTCTGAAACCATATTATGTGTCTTCAAGATCTTCTTCGCATTTTGGTCTAATTCTGTTGTGGAGTATTCTTAGGAAAATCTTTTGTGGCTTTTTAGGCTAATTAAGCCTAACGTTAGCCAGTCTGCGGGAATCACTATAGTGTTATATATTGGATTAAAAAGTTTTCAGTTGGTGTATCATGTGGATCTCAAGCTTTTCTAATTTTAGCATTTTTTAAAGTGTGTTCTACCTCTGATTTAATAATTTCTGGGCCATCAGTACAATTTTGGTTAGATTCGGTAATGCTATTTCCGCGACCTTCAATCAACTTTGATATATACAGCTGCCATTCTCTTCTTATTTCGTTCGTTTCCCCCTGCATTTGCATTCTATATTCAACTTTTTCAAGAGTTAGTTTTGTTAAATTTACCAACTGATTTGGTATTCCTAGTAATCAGACTCCTCTTTCATTGCTTTGAACATTTCTCTTCTGTTCACAGAGTCGTAGGCTACTCTGTAGTCTATAAATATGTAATAAGTATCAATGCCATATTCCAGTGGTTTTTCCAAAAATTATTTCAGGGTTGCAATCTGATGAATTGTCGATTTACCAACTCTGAAACCAGCCTAGTATTTTCCTACTATTCGTTCTGCATATAGTGCCATACGGTGACATCCTCCTCATCTACCCTTTATCCTTCGTAAGGATGTAGTGACGTTATGGTATTTGACGAATGGTTGCTATCCATTCTTCTCTCTCTTAGGCGCGGTGTGCTGCCTCAGACAGAGAGTAACCGGTAGCGCACTTTATTTGGTCTGACCATCAAAGTGGCGATCTTCTTCGAGTTCTTTTACCATCTACTTTGTCTTCAACCACCAACCTCTCCATGCTTTCCATTCGTCTGGTAATGTGCCCAAAGTACCTCAATATATTTTGTCCAGGCTGTGGCTATACTGTCCAGGCTATGACATCATTCCACGATATACCCACATTTCAAAGGCCAATATACGTCGTAAGTCGGACTTTTTAATGGTCCAAGTTTCTGACGCACAGGTAGCGATAGGAAAGATAAGCGTCCTTACTAGGTGCAGTTTCGTGTTCCTGGTTATGTCCGTATCTTTCCAGACTTTAGTAAGTTTGGCCGTTGCTAATCTGGCCATTGTAAGGCGTCGACGTATCTCTTCTTCGCATCCACCATTCTTTGTGATAACAGAACCTAAGTAATTGAAACGACTTACCACTTCAAACTCCGCTACGTTTCGTATTTCCGGCTGCTTATTTCTAATTCGATCGATTATCATTACCTTGGTCTTCTGCACATTAATTTTAAGGCCATATTCACGACTAATAGTATCTAGTCTGTTCATGATGTATTCAAGGTCATTTGTTGATGATCCTAGTACTAGTGTCGTCAGCATAGCGGAGACTGCTGATTATTCGACCTCCGACTGATATTCCTCCTTGCCTTCCGTCGAATACATTGCACATGATGTGTTGATATATATATATATATATATATATATATATATATATATATATATATATATATATATATATATATATATATATATATATATATAGTGAAATAACGTAATTCTTGCATTCGTAATCAAACCAAAGATTTTTACGGGTACAAATTTCTGTTACTATTTCATCTTTCGCTGTTGCTTTAATGTCTTCCTTTATTTCTGGCCCAGTAGTAGTCTATATCTGTCTGAACTTCCGAATACCGTTGCAATTGTCGCATCTGTCATCCTTTGGGATGTATGTTTATGTATAAAAATCTTTGGGATCTTTTCAGTTCTCTAAATAATTATTAATAAGTAAGTAAATTACTAAAACAAGTTTACCAATACACAAATAAAATGAATCTTCCTGCAAATTTCTTGACAATTCAACGTAAATATCACTCGAACCATTTTTGCTGTTCATTTTATATGAAGTCCAACAATTATGACTATAATAGTGTTATATAAATTATAACATTTAGTTGATTATCTATAGCATCTTGAATGAAAATAAAACAATATACCTAGTTTTGTAACATACTTAGTACATAATGGTAGTGTGTATTCTATTTATAACACGGTAGCTTGGTAGAACTAATTGTTTTAACGGGATAATGTATTAAAGGAAATTAATTACTCTTCTTATTAACAATTGAAAAGTATATATAGGCAAACATAGACGTCATCGAAGCATATGTTTATTTCTTTTCACTGCCGTCACTCTAGGAAACCGTCACTCGATTTATTCGGTTCTCATATCCGTTTTCAAAGTTTTTTCCCTATAATAGAGGTTGTTTGTTTGAGATTAAGTGCTAAACAGGATACAGACTGAAAATCATACATTTATTTTTAATATATCTCTTCAAAAAATCCCAGCCGCATGATTTTTTTTTGCGATTATCAGTTTTTAAAGATATGACTGCGAAAAGCAAAACATTAACGTATTTAAGTAATTTAAACACATTGACGGACAGTATGGCATAAAAAAGTGTTCCCAGAAACAAGCAACTTTTAAGAACGTCAGTTTATCGAAAATAATATTAAAAGTAGTTAAACATGATTTATTATGAATAAAAACATATATTTTTGTAACAAAAAAAAAATAGAAAGCGGCAAATACCGTCTTGTCCATAGCAAAGTATATTTTCGTGAGCTGCATATATGACGGCGTTTCCCGTCACACGAAAAGTGATAGAGAAAAGGACGAATTAATTAAAAACAACAATTTTATTTTTATGGTAATCTTCGAAGCATTTTCCACACAAAGAGCTGGTCTGCTGGGGCACGTTTTACCAAAGTATTTATCCTCCCGCATCCTGAGTCTTCTTTTGTCCTAGTTGTCTTGTTCTAGAGTTTGTTATAAAACAGTTAAAGAACAACAAAACATTTATACCACTGCTGAAAAAACCCGAATCCAAGAACATGGGGCGATTATTGATTGCTTAGTTTGATGAGTTCTCAGAATCCAGAAGGATAGTTATTGTTAAATATATATTCGGAAAATATTTTTGATTCTGTAAAAAGAGTTACATTGTAACTCGTTATTAATACTTTGTTAATAACTTCGTTGACCTGCAAAAAAGTGGCCACCCTATAAGTTTCCGAAAATAAAAATTCATTGGAAGTTTTATGCACTGTTTCATATTGTATACTCTATCTATCTATCTAATTAGCCTTCTTCGGTCCATCTTTGGACATAGGCCTCCCCAATCCTCTTCC